TGTATTGTTGTTCCTGTGATGTCATTTCCCCAAAGCAGAAGTAGGTAGCTCAGCTTCTCTCCCCATTAGTTCCTGGTCTTGGCTACTGCAGTGATAGTCTTCCAAATGGTTTCCTGCTCAGCTTCATTGCAGAGTTCATATTTTTGTCCTTCTCGCAGCTCCCTCTTCTCTTTTTTGTGCTCTCCCCAGGCATGAGGATTCAATCACCTATAATAGATAGTCTTTGGAGTCTGTGTGGAGGGGACAGGCTGTGTTAAAAAAAAAAATGGTAGGCTCCTAATTGCTTTTAGGCTCGCTAGGCAGTAATTCTCTGAAAAGGTGGTCGAGCACGATGCTGCTCTGCACTGGGGTCTGGTTGCTGCTCTGCTGGAGATCTGGGAGCAGCAACAGCACTGTGAGCCCTCTTTCTTCTTTCCTGACAGCACCGCAGCACCTGTATCTTAATCAGTCACTGTCAGCCAATGTCACAGGCACTGAACGCTGCTCTAAGCAAAGCACAGCACAAATACCTCCCTGCTGCTTGTAGCTTAGGTTACCATTACTAGACTAAGCTGCCCAGTGTAACAGTTTAATGCTGAAATCTTCAGAAACATTGGCACCAACATTTACTGAGACCAAGAAACCCTCAACCTTGGGCTAAATGCACATTTCTATGTTCTTGTGACTCTCACTGAGGCTACTGCTGCTGCTACTAACTGCACAGACATGAGGCAGGACTGCTGACAGAAGCAGCAGCCAAAAAACATTGTTGTGGGGGCTGATACAATTTTAGTCACGTATGCTACAGAGAATGAGGAAATTATGTATATTCTATATTATAATATTGCAGGCTATCTGATTTGTAACTTTCCTAACTGGCATGAGTTAAATCAAAAAAGGTTAAGGGAGGAACCTACCCAAAATGAAACAGTGACATAGGTAAGGAGCTTTGGAGGAAACAATGGAATTGCTGACTATAGGGAATAATTGTAGCGCCATCAAAGTTTGAGTGACTTACTGTTCCCAGCAGTGCATCTAGCATCAAAGGGAATCCTAAACCTGAAACCCTTGGAAAGAAGTGGGTTATCAGCAGATAAAAACTGATTCATGTAGAGGAAAAAAAAGAACGTTTTGCAAGCAGGCCAGCCTGGTTTTTCCCAACTCAGTGACAGAGCTCTTCTCCCTGAGCATGGAGAGGTTTAAGCTTAGGCCTCAGGGCCTTTCATTGTGTTACCATGTTTTCCTAAAGGTCTTGTACCTTCAAGGAATGAGTAAATAAGACTTTATCTTTGAAAATAGTATATCAAGTTACATCTGTTCACAGAATCCTGAGGGGACATTTTCTCAGGTTCCCTGGACAAGTACAACCTGTGCTGCTAACACAGCGATCTAGGCATTCCCCTCAAAGAAATCTGCAGAAAGCACTATTTGTTAATCCTGAGGTGTGTCAGGGAGACTACTTGGGACCTAGTGTGAGCTTGAGCTGTGGCCGTAGCATAGGTGTTAGTGGTTGTTGCATGGGCCTGTATGACTTGCTCTTTTGTGCCTTCATCAGGAGGGGGAGGACGACACAGCATCCATGGTAAATATTGGGTAAAGGGACTTCCAGGCTGGCGTAAGCACAGTCTCTACTAAGCCTAAGGAGAAGAGCACAACAGCTATGGTATGGCCTTCTGTGCCATCAGCTGCAACAACGGCTCTTCATTCTAGGCCCCCTTTCAAGCCACAACATTTCACCCTCCCAGGGCCAGGGTAGGAGCATGCCTCAGCGTCCAAGGCACGTCCTCTGCACCATGGTCCAGCACTGAGGGCAGAGCTGTACTTGTGTCTTCCTGCTAGATGATATAATGGCAACTTTAATAGCTATCTCCTGCAAATCCATTTACACAAACGGATGCAGACATCAGTGGCTCTTCTTACATGCATAAGGCTGTTCAGCCATGATAGCTTTTGCAGGACTGAGACCTTGCTTAGAAACATGATATTCAGCAAAAAAATTGTATCTTCAATTTTCATTTTTGAAATCTTATAGAGATTGTAAATAATTTGGAAATGAGAGCACAAAAACACTCAAATACTGCATATTCAGAGGCCTCAGCTTTAGTAAAATGTTATGGGTTTATGAGGCTACCTTATAATTCATTTCAGCTGTCCCAGAAGTAAAAAAGACAATGGTATTTCAGGGGTTGATTGCAGAGGTCATAACCTTCTGCACACAGTATATTGAACAATTCCATCATCTCTGCCTTCAAAGTGAATTTAGACTGACATAGCAGAATAGAAAAAAAATGCTTAATAAACTAAGGGTTTTATTGCGTGCGCGCGCGCACACACACACACACACACACACACACACACACACAGCCTCATAGGTGTGCCATCAGCAAAGAATGGGCATGACTCTATAATAGGTACACTAAAAGAGGCAATCTTCATATTAATATCCCTATTCACCAAACCAAGAGTTAAAAAAAAAAAGCTTCTCAGTTAGTGTACTATTTATCCTGGTCACCTTTACATTTGTTTAGCTATACGATTACCTTAGTAAAGAAACCTTGTTATACAAAGTGATAAATATGAAATTTTTAAGAAAATAAATTTTTTCCAGGTAGTAACTGCAGTGCACTGAGCCAAGTGAGGGATTCCAAAGTCATCACCCTGGCAAGCACTGGCCTGTGCGCTTGTCCTCTGTTGAGGAGAGAAACTTTCCGTTGTGCTGCCCCTCCAGCCTCCTCAAGAGCAAGGATGGGGAGGGCTTCCAGAGGCCAGCTCATCGGCCCTGGCACTGAATCAGCCCAAGAATTTTTAACTTACTTACTTCAGGAGAAAAACAGATCACACTGGAGGACTTTCTCCTTGAAGAGCACTTCGCCCTGGCCTCATCAGAGATGCAAATTTCTGAGGTACTCTGAATGTTCTCAGCAGTTTATTACAATAAGAAATGTAAATCATGGTTGTGCACTTTTTGTCTGAGGTGTAACCATTAGTGACCCCTTTGGTGTGATAAGCTTTGTAAGGAAAACACCTCAGGCTCTCATCCCCTTAGAAAGATGGTCTTTTATCACCCTCTCCTTCACAGCACCCTCCCTAAGAGCAGGGAAGTTTTAGTGTCCTTGATTTCCAGATGAAATGAGTTACTAGGAGTCTTAGACCAAATCCACCAGGATATCAGAGCGCCTCAAAACTTTCGAGACCTTGGGCCCAAATGACTCTCTAGAAGTCCACAGCTAAGGACAGAAAGCAAGGACAGGAATCCAGGGCCTCTTGGCCCCACTATAACGACATTCCTCACCATAAGTAGCTCTTTATTCACTTCAGTTGTTTGCTTTGCAATGTCACGCTTTGATTATTATGTTGCACAGCCACTGCTGCCTTAGTTTCTAGCCATATGTTGTCAGTCATAGTTTTGCTTCTTGTCCTTTCAGCTTTGCTTTATTGTCAGGCTCTAAGTTGTCTGACTCCCTGAAATGTGAAATTTTGGTCTTGTTCAGTTCAGGTAGGATGACTTTATCCAGCCCTGCTGCCAGGAATATCATGTTTACCATACAGAGAGATTTATTTAGAAACTGATTGTGAATTACACTGAGGAGTCTGCATTAAACCATGACAATAAATAATGAGAGGATGTTTGCCTGGAGGACTTCTCCCTAATGAGGTTTGGTCTTAAACAGGCATTCTGTTTGGAAGTCAGTTTGTTTCTTGAGATTTTTCACGTTTCGCCCTAAGTGTGGCTTTCTGTGAGATTTTGTTAATAACTGACCATGGGGTCACTAATAGTTACATTTCAGGTGAAAAATGAATGACCATGAACATACCTGGGATGTTGGGGGGTAGGGGGAATGTTATATACCATACTAATTTTTGATATTTATTTACTTACTTGTTTGTAACCTAAAAAAATCTTAACAAGATAGCACCATTATTTTGGAAGTAGACATATCCAAGTGTGTTTAAAAGGAGACTTTGGACAGTTGTTAAGTAGCAAATACTGTTACAGTCCATACTTCTTCAGAAGGAGAAGGGTTCTGCTCTTGAGGTATACCCCTTTACATTGTTAGTCTTGTGTAGGGCCTGTTCTCAAATGAACTGCTTTTGCAACTGGCCTTGCTAGTAGTTCACGCTCCAAAACCCACATTCCTTTACATGGGCCAACCTTACTATTTGCTTTTTCAGATACACAAAGGATCTATGCCAATACGGGGTTATGGCAACTACATGGATGAAAATGTACCCCCAATAGTCCAGCAGTTCAAACCGTCCATAAGGGTCATAAAAATAGTTTTCCAGCACTGTGTTTTGGACACTTTCTATTATAAGGATATATATGTAATGGCAATGGAGAGATTTCAATGGATGCATGTGCAGGAAAAAGAAAAACAGTAGGGACTGACGCATGGCTTATGTCTGGGAGAGTGGATACAGTTGCTGAATTTTTATAGTGACTGTCCTGTAACCCCTAGCATTCTGTATCATGAGTTTTCCAGCTTTAAAAGTGAGGTATTTCCTTGTAGGTTTACTTAAAGATTGATATGAGTAAGAGAGTGAAGCACTTTTTTTACTCATGCAGAGGGAGGCATGAGTGTTATTACCTGGAGACCTTGGGTTCCTATCCAGTTCATTTGGTCTGTAGAGTTATTTGCTTGATGCTTTTTGGGCAATGCAGAATATATGGACATCCAGGAAATGGGATAGGAAAGTCACCAGATTCAAGGATTTCCCTGCGGACAAACCTGTGCTAATATTAAAAGGTAGCTGGAATGTGCGTACGGCAGGCCACAGTCATCAGAGGGTAGTATGGATGGCAAATAGCTTTGGTTAGATCTTTCAAGCTCTATTAACCTGCACACTGATTTCTGAATAACAGTATCCAGGATGAAGTCTTCCTGCCCATATGAGATATTTCACCTCTGCTTATTAGCAGCTCATTCCCATACAGCCCTTTTTAAAGTGGAGAAAAAGGAAAGAATAATAGTGAGACTCCTAAATTAATCTAAATTGATCTAAAGCAACCGTTTACTTACCACAGTGAGCACCAGGTCCCCAAGTTACACGGAGTCACAACAGAAAAACTGCTCTCTTCACCTCAGCTGCGCATCTGATAGCCCTTAGGCAGAAGACAAGTTTGAAAGGCATCTAACCAGTAGGTGCACAGCAGGTCTGGTTCTTCAGGTAGTGCAAAGTTCAGCAGCCAAGCAAAGGGAAAAAAAAAATTAAAAAAAAAAAATCACTCTTTTTCCTCCTTGCCTCCGGCAACATCTGCTTGTGTGACAAAGTGAAAGCTCAGTAGTTTTGCATTTCAAAAACTAGTTTGACGTTTGACTTATATTCAGAGTGCTCATAACTCTGTGCTTTGCACTCACCTGTTTTAATCTCTCACCATACGAGCAACTTGATAACATAATAATCAAATAAAGACTGACAGAGGATGCAACAAGCTTAACATATGCCTCTGATTCTTCTACCAGAGAGTGACAGAGCCTTCAAGAAGAAAAGAATTCCCCCAGTGGCTTCACTGTTTTCCAGACATCTTTCTAGATGAACTTCTCCAATGGTAAAATCATTACAAAGGGAAAGTATACTCTAAGGGCTAATTTGAAAACCTAGTCTAATATAAGGAGCTGTAATTCAGTAATGACTCCTATAGGCGTAACAGAACTTTCTGTGACCAGCTTTATAAGGTGAAGAAATGAGAGATGTGGCATTAAGAGAGCCTGAGCCAGAACGTTATTTATGACTGTCCTATGTTTTGGGACGTTACAAAAACAAGGTCTCTAAAAGCCAGAATGTAATTTCTAAAACGACCCCCGCCCCGAACTTTTTCAAAGGTGAGCTCTCATCTAGAGCTGTATTTTGAAAACAAAAAGGCAAAGCTGAGAACTCAGGAGTTTGGGTAGCTCTAAGATTCAAATCTGGACTTGGATTCAAATTTTGCCTCTTGATGGCAGCTGCAATATTTTCTGCTTCCGTTCTTTCAGGGAGTGTCGGAGGGTGCATAAATACCCCAGTTACATGCTGAAGGAACGGCTACGGTTATTTTATGGAGACTTAAGAAAAATGTACCTTCCCATTCATGCTGCAGCTGCATCAGGCCCTCTGATTAGCAACAAAGGGCACATTTAACTATACCTCCAACAGAGAAATGTACTGGGAATCCTGGCTAATCCAGGTACACCGTTTCTCCAAGATGACTTATTGGGAATCTTTAAATGAGAGAATTGAACAAAATCAAGCCCCTCCTGTAAGAAAACTCAAAACACACTAATGGGACATAAATGAGAAAAATTAAATCTTAGTCAAAAAAAAAGTCACTTTCTTTTCCAGCATGGCAGAGAGTAAATATATAGCTAAGTTAGAGATTTACAGAGAGAGATTAGCAAACAGAACAGAAGTTTATGGGAGCATGCAAAGTATTGGAAAATTAGAGACACTTGAAAGAAATATCGTTTGCCTTCATCCTTTGTGTAAAAAGAAGCAATTACAAGCAATTATATTGTTATTTTAATGCTGGCTTATAACTGATGGTATAAGATAAAAGCAGTTTGCCTAGGTGGGAAAATAAAACCTAACAGCCACCTTGTTCAGGTTGCAGTGGCTCTAATAGTCATATTTGTAACAAACTGCAGAAATATTTCAGGACAATGAAGTATTTTACACATTATCTGTCTTTAATTGTAATCAAATCAACATGGTAAAAAAAAAATATCAGTTCCTAATTTAGTACTAGTTGAATCCGTGTATGTACCTGAAACTCTGCATGTATGTCTCAAATCACAGCATTTCCATTATCTTCAGCAAAGAGATTGTAATATGATTCAGTGCCTTCCAATAAATCTAAGACCAACTCATAACAATCATCCTTTGTAATTGTACCTAATCACATGTGAGCAAAGCAATAATCTCTGAGAAATATCCACTGCTTAAGTACTAAAATAGTACTAGATAAACATGAAAGGTCATTATAAGGCTCAAACCTTGGAGTGGAATGTGTGTAGCATGCGAGTGAGAAGGTTTGGTTAAAAAAAAAAAAAAAGTTTGATTTAATCCAGGAACTCTGAACTATAAGAACTTAAGGGTCATCACTGAATGGAAGCAAAAATCTCCGAATACTTGACCGAAGTGGAGTCAGTGGAAAGTAGCAGCAAGACTAGAACTTTGTCACCAAAACATACCTACTATCAAAAATGTTCCTGTGGGAAATGTCTGGGTAGTTCACATAGCCTCAGAGTAAATAATTAGACCAGAAAGTATTAACGGTGTTAATGAGCCATTGTGTTACCTGCAAGCAAGCAAGGGTTTGTCTACTTTCCTTTAGTGCCCTTTGATGCCGAAAAGATGCAATGTCTCCCTAGTGTAACATCTAGCCTATTATCTGACTAAGGACTATTCCTCAAAGATCTCTTTTAAAGTTTCTCCAACTAGATTATTTCCTTCCTTTTTTTCTATAATATATGTTACACTGCTAGGAACAATATGGCTTGCGCTGATATTTTGGCAGTCTTATGAAAGACTGTCTGAAAAAAAAAAGACGACGACAGTATGAAGACTGTAGGTGTTTGCTATCTATTTTGTGGGGGGCAGTGTTAGGATTTTATTTTATTTGGAAAATAATTTTTGGAGTTGAACCAGTAATATCAGCAGGTTCTGTAGGCCCAAGCTCAGGGGTGGTGGCAGGAACAGCTGGTCAGGCAAGTCCGGTTTTGAGGGATGTGTATGACTGTGTGAATAGGTGATGCAGAAGCTGCCTAAGTCAAAGCAACAACAACAGCAACACATGTAAGCTAGCGCTTAAAGGTAAGTTGGTCTCTGAGAGATTTTTATTGTGGGTTGGTTTGTTCATTTTTAGCACAACTCTGCCTTGACTCCCAAGTTTATGTAGTTACCATAACATTAAAGCCAGGTGTACTGCTCTTATAAAAGCAGCCAGCACCTGCTGTAAGGCTCTTGGGGGAAGGGGGGTTTCCCATGTTAACCCCCGCAATCCCACCGCAGTAATTCAGCCACGCACGGCTGAAGCAGTCGTCGAGCTTCTGCACAATTTGTTCAGCAATGCCACAGCAAGGCAGTCAGCACTCCATGGCGTTGCTTGCACGGAGCAGGAAATGGCTAATAAGGAGGAAGGGTTTTGATGTAGCAAAATTTTCCATCTGTTCTTTGGATTTATAATTACATGCAACTCATTCTCTATGCACCTTCAGCAATCCATAATTGGGAGGCATTTGCCTCATTAATCATTCAGATGGTGTGAGCTGCTCCATGCGCAGCTACAGAAGTTATGGCCAAATTTACATATCCTCATAGTGATTTATATTATTTACCACGTGCAATTTTTGGAGCTTCAGTTTATTCTGAGGACGTTTGCTGTTACTGTAGCTGAGGGTTTCTTAATATCATGAACTACCACGAGATGGCACTGATCTCCAGGCACCTCGGCCTGCCCAGCCTCTTCCCACTGCCTGGGCATCAGGTTTGCCATTACAGAAGCAGTTTGAGTTACTTTGTTCATCTTTTACTAACTAGCTGGTGGCACAAACACTACTCCTCTTCTGTTTTCTTTTTTGTTTTGTTCTCTTAAAGCTGTGGATATGAATTTTCTGATTTTATGTTATGAAGCTTTGGGATTTATTTGGACATAATTTGCTTATGTCATGTGATGGCTGGTTTTTAGGCATGAGCCAAACTATACAAACACCAGCTGGGGTAAATCCACCAAGAGCACTCACTGCCACATGGGGCTGATTCTTATCAAAAGGTAGAAACCATTATTCATGGGGTTGGGGGGAGCAGCTCATGAAAGCATGACTGTGTGTTTCTAGGAAGCACTTACTGCAGAACTACTCATTACTATGTTGGTACGCAACTTTCTGTTGTGGTTGTTTCTTTCTAGAGCATCATCCGGCCCTCGCGCTAAGGAGCTAGCATGACCGTACTGCCAGCCAAGATGGTCATTCACTTTGCAATGCTTCTTCAGCGCCTTCTGTACTCATGTCTAGATTCTCCAGGCTGGTTCACAACACCCATCAGTTTGCTATAATAGTACGATACTGCTCATTACTTTTGACCGAAGTAACTAAATTCTGTGCCTTTTGGGCTGGTCATAGCATCCTGAACTCCAGTGGTTCATTTGACTGATGCACTGTAATAACTGCTTTGAATCCCTCTGTTGTGAAATTAGTTTTCAGTTTCACCCACGTATAATAAATAGACTAACAAACATACTGTATTATTTCATTCCTTTTTTAAGCCATTTATTACACTGCATCAGGAAGCTTTCTGGATAAAATCTATTCACTTTCATCATGGTTTAACATACTATTCTTACATGAACTGCTTTTCCATTAAAAAGAAATTCTATTTCTTTAAAATAGGATGAATCCCACACTTTTTCTGGATTTAAATCAAACTCTTAGCTAAGGGAAACTACAGAAATATAGAATACAGACAGTGCAGTACAAACATAGCACAGATGCTTACATTTAAATATATGCCATTCAGATGTTAAAAAAATTATTCAGACACCAACATATCAAAGGCATATTACTGACAAACGGTGTCTGACATGCTTCCACAAATGAATAATTACGCTAGCTTTGATCAGAACCACGTGACTCGTACCCTTCCATATGAACAGTTTATCAGAAGAACAGTCAGATTTGTGCCTATACAGGAGCATGTTTTTTGGATTTCTTCTGAAAGACAAACCATGTTTTAATCATACAGTACATGTCAAACCAGAAGAATGTGTGTTTCCTTTCAGACCCAGGGCAAGATTTTAAAGCATGTGTGACCCAGCAAGCAAGTCTGCTTGAAAGTGAGGTCAGCCTACCAGTTGTGCTGTGCAGTATTGCATTACAGTCCTAAGAAACATTCCTTCTTCAGGGATCGCAATCCAGTCTCCTGAAGAAAGTTCAGCTCTAAAGCTGAGCTCTAAAATAGCAAGATAACAGACTGGCAAATTTCAGCCAGCCACTTTAGATAATTTTCCTCTGCAGTGAAGATTTGTTCTGGTCCTGGCAGTCCTCCAGAATTGGTGGGAGGACAAAACCCAGTCAAAGTCTCCCATTAGGTTTCACAGCATAGTCTTTAGTTGCTGAATTTGCTAAAACTGTTCCATTCTATGGTATTCATCTCACAAAGGGACCCCAGAAACACCACAGAACTACCACTGCTGCTGGTAAGCTGCTCTCCAAGAGGCAGGCAAACAGACGCTGCTGCTTCTCCAGATTAGATACACATGGCTAATCTCCATGCTATTCTCTTAAAAAAATGTAGCCTTCTCTTTACCACATGTTACTCACTTGGGTGACAGTCACCAGCACGCTCAGCAGGGAAACTGACAATCAGAGCGCTGCCTAGTACAGAGTACCACAACAGTGCATTTCCAAACACAGCTCTTCCTGCTCTCCAACTGTCCTTTGCTCACCCAAAGGTGAGCAAAGTATCACAGTGTATCAGGGTAGACTATCACTTCTTTGTGCACTCCTGCACCTGAAAATGAAAAGTCACTATTGTGCAGAAATGTTCCCATCCAAAGACAAGTAAAAGTTTTTCCTGGACTGAGCACCCCTCATTCACCACCTTATGCTGCAAACTACCTTGACAGCTAATGCAGGAGGATTGAGTAGTAAAAGGGTTTTTTTCAACTTTCCATTGGACTTTTGATGGTGCAGCAGGTGCTATTTCATCAGAGAGGGCTACCCAGTGAGTCCTGCAGTCATATCAGGGCACAGCTTCTTGTCTGAAATGAAGCCATGTTGCTCAGATCTTATCAGTAGCAGCTCCTATTATTATTGCCAAACTCATTGCCCTGGATCAAGAAATGGTACCTGCATTTAAAGGAAGCCTGCCTGACTCTGCCTGTCACACTTTTTACATATACATTCCAGATGTTTTGCACGAGCATTTTCATGCTATTTATCCTCGGCCTAATGTCTTAACAGACTTCTCTTCTACCCCCCACCCCCCAACCAGTAAAGTAATTTAAATCAGCAGGAAGATCAACCCAAGTTTCCAGCATAGCATCACACCCCCAAGCACTATGTAGCACTATGTAGCACTATGACAGGGCTAGGGCCTGAACAAAGTTCCTGCTCTTACCTTAGTGTGGTAAGCAAGAACACAGGGAGTCCTATTCAGTGTACCACTTCATGGTTGTCCTGCAGCTGCCTCATATTTTCAGGGCATACAGAAGCCACCCGATGTATCAGTTTCCTCTGCAGCAGCAAATCTAAAAGCACACGTTAAATGTCAGGCTACAGATTCATTTTCTATCTTGCTTTCTTTACCCTGGTGAATTTCAATGTACTTAGCTCACAGTTTAACGGCTCTAAGAGATGGAAGGTAGGTCACTGCCGTAGACTCTGTTCCAGCAGCTAGAGCGCTCTCTGACACAGGTTTGACCACCTCGTGCAAAGGAAGGACTGAATTTACACTTCCCACAGAGCACTGCCAATCCATTACAGAAAAAGCAAATGGGGAGGCAGAACAATTCCTCTTCTAGCAGCCACGTTGTGAGGGGCTGTGGACTGCTTGCTCTCCTTGGCATATGGTAGGTGGTTCCAGACCATGGGAGACTCCTGTTTCTCCATGGAAGAAATAGGTGTTAAAGCCCATTGGCTGGGGACCCCGGTCAGGCTAAAGCAGAGGCTAGATGCCAAGGTACTCAGACCTGCCAAGACTAAGGCATGTTTCAGCAGGGGAAAGCAGAACTTTAGATGACTGGGGAGCTTTTCTGGCCAAAATCCAAGGAACCAAGCTGGAGGCTGTTGAGGAGCCGCCAGGGTCAGATGAGGGCTGAGAGAGGGGTAATTTAAGATTTCAGCCTTAGAACCCAGCACCTAAATTCTGTCTACAGTCCCTTCTAGACAGACCTCAGGAGGCAGTTGTTCAGCTCAGAGCCTGTGAAAGCAAGAATAAAAGAAGCAAAGGCCATACAGAAGTATACACAGACAACAGCTGAGGAAGGGCATGCTGTTGAGAGAGACTTTGCTGCACCTGCATATATAAATAAACAAGTGGAAAAAAAAATCTGCTTGAAGCTAAATCAGCTCTATTGTCTACCCTTCCCCAAGACAGCTCCAGTTTTGAACCCTTAATTCAAGATTGCTGGCACTACCTAATTCAGGTGTCCTAAATAAATATTTTTCTTTAGTAAATAAACACAAATAATCTATTTTGCCATCAGAACATCCTACAGTCTAGCAGTTCAGTCATCATTTTACACCTCACACCCCCTCCAGCTGGGGAAGGGCTTCTTACGAATGCACTTGAATGAGACGAAAGTCCAAAGTGTTATTCCTCTCTGGCCATGTTTAAAGCCTAATCCAGGACACTCGCTGCTCCCAATGACACCCAGACAAGGCTTTTGGCTCACAGCTGGCTCACATCCTGCCACTTCAGAGTGATGACAGCTTGCTCCTTACGGACATAAGTCCCTTTGTTGCTCAGCCCAAGCTGCTGAAGAAGATCCTCACAGGCGGGATGTTAACTGAAGTTTGGTATTAAAATGCCAAGCGAGTTGGTCTAGCCCAAAATTGCAGCAAAAGCTTTTACCTTGATGTTTTTTGTACTTCCAGTCCTGAGCATTCTGTCTTTAAATAAAAATACTGTTAGCGTTTACACAATTTCCACAGTTTATTTTATCAGCTTCTCTGTGTGTTCTCTCTGATACACAGAAGGAAAAAAAAACATGCCATATATTTTCTTCTAGTCACTAGTTGGTCCTCCTTTAAGGACCTTGTAAGACATTTTTGTGTATTGTTTCTCTGCATATGTGGGCAGCTTTACTACTTCATCCCCCTCAGGACCACTTAACAACATCAGCAAAGCAATTAAGTGTAGTTTTCAGGAAAATGCCAGAGGCATTACACTGTCTGGATGGGAGTCTCAACCCAATTATTTTCAGCTAGTTGTGAACTGTGGAAAGTGGACTTTACTTCATTATAACTTCAGTTCCCACTGATTAAAAGTCTACTGTGTTACAGACGGTAAGGAAAAATGAAACAATTAAACCTTCCATCAATAAAACTGCTGCATATTCTTCAACATAGGGGTTTGCTTCTCTCCAGAGAAGTGATTAAAATGAACTGATTGAACTATAATTTGATTGACTGAAGAGCCTCAATCCATTGCACTAAAGCTTAAATTCCATCTTATTGCTCTATTTAACTCTGAATATAAAAAATTACTGGCGGTCTTGCAAACCCCTTACGCAGTCATCCGGCTGAAATTTCTTACTGTTCACAGGCTGCAGAGGGTTCTGTTCTGTCTTTGCTGCGTATGCATGATTCACAATGGACAGAAGCCGAAAAGGAGGAGATGATATCTAAGAAATGACATTAATAGAGCTTTAAAAAATTTATAAAAGGCCTGCTAAATTATCAGGTATCTTGTACCTATTACATAATCGGCTGGAGACTTCTAAACACAATCACAGATAAAGTTAATCCCAGAGATTGGAGAGAATAGTTGTCAGGTTATATATAGTTGTTGCAGCAAAAGTGAAAAGTATTCTCCCAACCAAGAAATCCATCCACGATGTACCTCCCCACTGCAGATCTGTCTTCAGCAAGGTGTGAGATTGCCATATGCCCGTGTTCCTGTGTGTGCATACAAAGGACTCTGCCATTCGAGGAGATCCTTAAGCAGCACATTTAGCCTAGGGTTGATTGTGCTGGTTACAAACTGGGATGCCTGGGTTCCAGTCCAAAATGTTTCTTCAAACCTGGGGCAACTTTCTAAGGTTTACTTTTCCTACAGGACACTGATCTCCACAGATGAAGAAGTATCTTGCCAGAGCGAGGGATTCTTAGTGCACAATGAAGTCAAAGGAAAAAAGGAATGATGCTGACTGGCAGCAGGCTGACCTGATGGTTCTGGAAGACCAAGAGATGATGGCAAATTAATAAACAATGAGCTGCCTGCTTCCATCAACAGGATAATATGATGTACTGATATAGAAAATACCTAGATTAGTATACCCCCTCTGAAAATTTAACTGAAATGCCATTTCCTGTTATAGGGTGTCACACTGTTTTATGGTGTCTTATGATTTCTCTATTCCCACCTCATATTTTGAAATAAAAAACATGATTTGAAAGACAACTGCACCACAGTAACACTGAATTAGCATATATTATAGAGTTAAGTTGCAGCAAGGACACATTATGTTGGCAATTAAATCAATTAGGCTGGGTAAGATATGCAGATAAAGTGTGCAACACCTGGGTTAAACACTTAATGCTCTTCCTTTAACAGGCAGCTCCAACTCCAGACAAAGTTAAAAGATGATTTCTCATTAATATTATTGAGAACTGGGTCCATAGCCATTTAGATAAAGGTGATGCAGTTCACTCAATAAAGTGGGGACATGGGCTCCTTGAGCTATAATATTTACTGTTGAGCTCAGTTTACTGTTGAGCTTTGTGCTGCTGGCTGGGACTAAAATACTAGACTGGCTTCATAGCTAATCAGGTCAGGTATGTGATATGTAATAGCTGATTCTGAACCTTAGACGTTGCCAGTCCCAGTTTTACAAGGAATTCTGATTAGCCAAGATTACTATTAGCAAGGTTACTAATCGAGTAAGTTTTTTGATTTCGTTGTTTAAGCATAGGCCATACCACAGTTCTTCACGTTTTTTAACCAAAACTACCAAGGCTTTACTGGAATCACTGAGTGAATATTGATCCGATAAAACACTGTCTACATCTAATTTCAAAGGAACACAAAGTATTTTTGGCACTCAACGATTGCCTTGCACTATTGGACTTTTCGTTTGTTTCCTCTTTCATTTTCATTACCAGGTGCTATAAATGTTATCCTTTACTACACCTCAATGTATGCAACTCTGAATAAAGATGTGCAGTAACAACAGTAACAGAAGCATATTAAAGGCAGACAAGGGCAAATGCAGAATCACAGATTTGTAGGTGTCTCTGGAGACTGCAGGATGTTTGCTATGTTCCCTGACCCCAGCTTTATGTAGATGCACACCAAATGTATGTAGGGCACCAAACAGTTTAAATGCCTACGAGAAGCTTTCAGTTCTTACATAGACAAATAAATTCTCTCAATCATCATAGCACCTTTGTCTGCATGAAAGCTGCAGAAGAAGGTGCTGTATTTAAAATTTGTATCTTGCAAAAGAAGCTGTGGTGCTAATAAGATGTGTATCTTATTTTTCTGCAGGACAAGAAATGTTCTTACTTGACAGCAAAATGAGACCCAAGTATGAAACCAGCCTCAAGTCTTACTTATTCCAAGTTGTTGGAACAAATATCTGTGAAAGAAAACCAGCCCATCTCAGTAGGAATGGTCAGTCCTTAAATTAGAAAGTGGCAGGGATCTTACAAACCATATATTCATTTCTCACAGTGTTCCTATGTCTACGGCAGCAAGCAAAGCTTAGGAAGGTTTCCTGTCATACTGACAAGCAATCTGCGGAATGTACAAACATTATCAAGATCAGGGTAGGACCTTGCAAGCCCAGCCTGTGCACGCAGATGAAGGAGGAAGGCGTCTGCTGGCCCAAGTAATGGCTCAATGTGTCTCCCCACAAAAGTATCTGCAACTGGAATTTGCCAACAGTTCCACAAACCACCCCGGACCAGCACGTCAGGGAGAAAGGGAAGAATGATTCAAGATGGATCTGCTTTCCATATTTGTGAGCCTCCTGGCAGATGCAAAGAACTAACTACTTACTACTGGCAAAAAGAACGTCACTTCTCTCTAGGGATGCTGCGGACCATACAGGTGACTTTTCTGTCCTTACCCTGTTAGGGAAAGGAACCAGTATCTGCTTTTCCATAGCAAGCAGATCTCAAAACCTTTAATTACAGAAATATATAAAAATGTATAAGCCAGCAGATTTATGTTTGAATAATACAGTCCTTTAATTACAGATATATCAAAATTCTTATTTTTTTGAGGAAATGTGATTACTGCCATTTCTTCATTAGATTAGAAGATCAGAGCTTCACTATTTAAGACAATTTATTTAAAAGGCATGGTATTATCCATTTACCCCACACTGATAAAAACCCCAACAAAACAGAAGCAAACACTTGAATGCTCTCTTCCTAGCAACCAAGGTCTTTTATCAGAAAAGTAGCATATTTGGGTTTTCTGTACCTTGTATTAAGCCAAATTTCTAGTTT